TTTTTGTCAGTACGACATAATGATGACAGAGTTGACAGTTCTTAAGGGATTATGATTCCTCTCATTAGGAGTGACTTGATGGCTTCTTTCTGATTTTCCTAAGAAGTATTAAAAAAACCGTTTGTTTGATAAAACCATGGAGTTTCTTGCTCGTTCTTTTCCATTGGAATCTGCATTTGGAACGAGCAAATAGTTTCACTAAGGGGGGGACTGACCGACAGACTTCCACAATCTTTAAGCATTGTTTGACGGTCAAAAGTGCCTGTAAAAGTCTACCTAATTGAAATAAATGATTTTGACTTTTGACTTTTTGGCCAGTAGACCAAATACGTATAACATTTTCAACACATATTAGTGTTTGAATTGGAAATTTTACTCGTTGAAATAACGAGTATTCTACCAGGTACCAGAAAAACTATTCAATTTTAGTTCTAAAATAATTAATTTATCTAATTATCAGAATGCATTCACTTCATTACAAACTGTGTGCAGGCGAACATTTCGTTCGTTTAGTAGTTATTCGCTGATTAGAACACTGTGTTTACATAGTCATGTTTCAACTACGGGAATTTAGACCTTATCGACGTAATATTATTGGTGGAGGCTAATTAATTTGTATCAATTAGTGCTTAACTGGTTTTATATGTATTGTAGCTTCATTATGTAATAGCGTGTGTCTATGTTTGATTATATCGGGAAATCTAGTGAATCAGACTTCCAAATGGCAATTGGGTATTTCTATCATTTCATGGCAACTACGTATTATTTTTTTTTTTTACGTAATAGATCGGCAAACGAGTAGACGGATTACCTGATGGTAAGTAATCAGCGCCCCCCATGGACACCCGCAACGGAGATGTTACGAGTGCGTTTCCGACCTTTTAGGGATTAGGGATTTGGAGATTTAATTAGGGATTGAGGAGGGATTGGGGGTGGGCAAGGATTGGGCCTCCGGTAACCTCACTCACACGGCGAAACACAACGCTGTGGTCGTTTCACGCCGGTTTTCTGTGAGGCGGTTCTTACTCTGGCGGAACATCAAACAGACAGATCTGCGTGCGCATTATGGTGGAGAGCGAGCGCTGTGACTATCATAGGAGACGGATCGCCGACGTCAGTTATTTTTGTAATTTATTCAACCTGCTCAGAATACAGGTTTGTTCTGTATTCTGAGTCAACCTGATTATAAAATCCTACGCCCTGCGATGGACTATGAAGACGATGATCGGGATGTTAATATATGTACCAATCCCCCGGTGCCTTCATATATATATTTTCTAGAAAGTTGTTTTAAACATATTTTCGTTGTGTACGATAAATTTCTTTAATATGGTTATTTTGGCATTGACATGTTATTATTTAAACTCAGAATACAATTTAAATACACTACTTTTAGGGTTTTTATTATGAGGGTTCCAAACGGGTATCTGGCCACATCAATTGTAATAATAATATGTTATGTATTAGGTTTTAAACATAGTTTTTACTTATTCACTGAAAATTAAATCCGGTATCGATAAAAAACAGATATGACAGCCGATTTTGGTTGAAAACAAAAAAAAAAGAATACTGGCGTCACCTGGTGGTAATCGATCAGCGCCGTGAAAGAACAATGTCAACACCAGCTTCACTAATGGCTTGAAGACCTTTTAATATAATGTTTATAATAACATCACCGTCTTTCTTAAAAAAAAACTCAGTAACTGGGTCTTCTATCTACGAACTTGATCAAGGGAGACTAGAAATCAATATCAATAATTGACTTTTAAGAACTGATAATGATTACAACTAAAACGGAGTTCATAAATCACATTAAGTCCATACACATATGTACAATATATACTGATATTATAAAGAGGTAAAATTTGTAAGTTTGTATGTAGAGGGTAATCTTTGGGACTGCTGCGCGCTGGTCGGTGAAAATCCTTTCACTGAGAGATAGCCACAACGTTCCTGAGTGCTATAGGCTATACATATTTATTTATTTATGCTTTATTGTACACAATGAAATGAAGTTGGTACAAAAGGCGGACTTAATGCTATATGGCATTCTCTACCAGTCAACCTTTGGGTCAAGTGGAAAATCTGCGAAAAATAGGTACGGGAAATATGTTTTTACGAAGTGACTATGATTATACTCGCGCTTCTGACCTCTGAATACCATTTACCTTTCAAGGAGTAAATTACCTATTTATTTGTGAAAAGAGTAATTGATTTGTTCATCATTTTTCGAGACATTTCTTTTAAACATATTTTGGTACATATTACTTGATTTGCGTATTTTAGTCAAGAGACCGCTTTAAACGCTGTTTTTTTAATCCCGGGGTACAGAAATCACTTGGAAAGCCGCAAGCGGAAGCTATTGAAATATAAAAGTGAGTATCTTCTTAAACATATTGATAAAACAAGTTTACGAAATCCTCAAAATACGTACGATCGTCCGAAAACGAATATTCGGTATAAAATATGTACCCAAGCTATCAAATGCTCCGAAACCGGTCGTTTGGTGGATGGGCCTGAGCACATCTGCGGTGTTCTGTTACCGTTATATGGGACCCAAGATTTGAACTACTAGGATTATGAAGCCTATATAATCTAGGGCAATGTTTTGTTTGGCAATCTTCTCATATGTTTTCTACCTAAATTCCTTTTATTACAAGCTTTAATTTAACTTGCAACGTAGTTTTTAAAGTGGAATCTTATTACGATTTTTTCTAGCAGATAATTTTTATCCATTGAACGCTACGAAGAATGTCGGCGTTGTGGTTTTAAAACCTGGCGAGTATCAATGTCACTTTTTTTTCGGATAATTCACCAAACGAGCAGACGCATTTCCTGACGCTATGCAATCCGGCCTTTTGGGGATAAGGGTTGCGGATATTTAAGGATTGGGAAGGGATAGGGTAGTGGGGGGATTGGGCCTCCGGTAACAAAGCGAAACACAACGCTGTGGTTGTTTCAAGCCGGTTTCTGTTAGGCCGTGGTATCACTCTGGTCGAACCAACCCATTCCTGCAGAAGCTTAGCTCTCATACACTTAATTCTCGCGAGATTTTTCCGAAATATATTTAGTTTCTTCAATTATTTAGTACTTACATACGGTGAAGAAAACCACCGGTAGGAAACCTTTACTAACAATTTCTAAATATAAGTTTAGAATCGCCAAATTGCCTTGATCAAGCGTGATGATTAATGCTCAAACCTTCTCCGTGTGAGAAGCTTTGAGCATTAATACATTCAGTCAACAAAGTATCGGGCATGAATGTTTTTTTTATGGTTCCAAATTCGAATTTTAATTTTTTTTGTTGTTGTTAGATTGGCATAACTGTTTTCCATTTTGGCGCGGAATTTGAGTTGCATCTGTTATTTATATTAAAAACAGTGCTGTTTTTAGTTTTATAATATCTAGTGTGTATTGCGAATTTCATAATGGACAAAAACATCGAACAAAGAGTTTGTCTTAAATTTTGCATCGCCAATGAAATTTCGTGTTCGGAGGCACTCAAAATGTTACAGAAGGCTTACGGTGAATCGACTTTATCAAAAACACGTGCTTATGAGTGGTACAAAGCGTTCAAAAGCGGTCGAGATGTGATGGAAGATTTGCCTCATTCTGGTAGGCCATCAACGTCTGCAACTGAAGTTAACATCGCAAAAGTGAAGGAAATAGTGACTGAAAATCCTCATTCAAGTTTGAGAGAGATGGCCGCCGAACTTTCTGTATCTAACGAATCGATCCGTACCATTTTAACAAATAATTTGGGTATGAAACGTGTTGCCGCTCGGCTAGTCCCAAAAGACCTGAATTTTCTTCAAAAACTAAATTGCATGAAAGTCGCTGAGGACATGCTAGAACGAGTCAATACCGACCCAACATTCATGAAACGCATTGTTACTGGTGACGAGACGTGGGTTTACGAGTTTGACATGCAAACTAGTCAACAAGCTTCGGAATGGCGCCTTCCAACTGAACCAAAACCGAAAAAACCACGTCAAAGTCGATCAAAAGTCAAAGTCATGTTGACTGTTTTCTTTCACTATCGCGGTGTTGTGCACCGTGGTAAATAAAGAATATTATTTGACCGTTATGCGGCGTTTAAGAGAACAAATTCGAAGAAAAAGGTCAGAAATGTGGAAAGAAAATTTTTGGATTTTGCATCACGATAATGCGCCTTCGCACAAGGCCATCATTGTAAACGATTTTTGGTCCAAACACTCAACAAACACCATCGAGCAGCCACCATATTCACCAGATATGGCTCCAGCCGACTTCTTTCTTTTTCCCACACTCAAATTACCCCTTCGTGGCACCCGTTTTCAATCGTTAGAAGACATAAAGGAGAATTCGCGGCGAGCACTGAACTCAATTCCGGAAACAGCGTTTAAAAAAAGTTTCGATGATTGGATTATTCGTTGGCGTAAGTGTATCGTTTCTGAAGGAGCATACTTTGAAGGTGATAAAATAAATTTAGATGAATAACAAACATTTTGTGTATTATTGACTTTTTCCCGGTACTTTCTTGACAGAGTAGTACCTTGGCTTCGTAAGGCACTTACCTACTTATAGGCAGATGATGTGACGTGTGATGTGATTGAGCCTTAATTATGTATACGCGTTTAACATTCTTTACTTGTAATACAGGTATTATGATTTTGACATTGAATAGATCCATAGAAATGTTAGTAAAGTGTTTAGTCCCGAGACTTACCGACCTATCTGGTAAAAGCTTTTCAGATTTTCATTACATTTGCCAGAATATTTTTAGAAACTGGTGATTCTTTTATTGGTAAGATTGGATGAACTTCACTTTGGTATCTTTATTTAATACTGTAAAACCTGGCAGGTCCCAAAGTGACTTCTTCCGAGTTATAAGTATGTACTTCCTCAGATTATTTAGACACCACTGGCATACGGCCAGGGAATTATGGTTAGGAAAACTGCAGAAACTTTATAATTTCTAATTATACTAAGCTTGAGATCGCCACCCGCCTTGAGCGAACATGGTGATTAATGATTACACGTTCTCCTTGTTAGAAGAGGCCTTTGCTGTGTCGAGGCTGGTGAGTGAGTGGGTTTATGGTTGGTGACAATGAATGATGATGCATTTAATGGTTCAAGAAATTTTCTACAGCAAAAATTTTATATAAAGTTAATTAGTAAATTAAATTAAACATAGAGTTTAATTTCATTATCTCTTGTAAGTAATTAGACGAGTTGTATGTAATTTAATTTGTTTTATATGAACAGCTGTTCTAGGAATGTAAAGATAATTTTATATTGTAGGTAGTCTACATCGTCAGATACCGCTGTAGATATTAGTATCATGTTTAGAAAATAAATAAAATTCTTATTTTTATTTACAGGGTGTAAGAATTGAATTTTTTGAAACTCAATTTTTATTTCAGTTTTTTTTTTAAAGACCATTTTTATTAAATACAAATGTTTTTTTTTCTAGAGAGGTGGAAATTGTGGGAAGGCTCTATTTGACTACAAAACCACTCCAGCTCTGAGCCGTGATGGGATGTTATTGCTTCAAATATACAATTTTCATATACACGTTAAGTGTGGGAGAGCCAAGTTTCGGCACGAATGGGTCGGCTCGACCGGAGTGATACCACTGCCTCACAGAATACCGGCGTGAAATAACCACAGCATTGTGTTTCGCCGTGTGAGTGAGGTTACCGGAGGTCCAATCCCGCACCTTCCCCTATTCCTTCTTTCTTCCTTATATCCGCAACCCCTATCCCCAAAAGGCCGGCAACGCATTCATAACTCCTTTGGTGTTGCGGGTGTCCATGGGCGGCGCCGATTGCTTACCATCAGGTAATTCATCTGCTCGTTTGCCGACTTATACCATAAAAAAATATTCACCACACCTAGACCCGGACTAATACTTTATGGATCACACAAGGAGTTGTTCCGTTCGGAAATCGAACCCGCGCACCAACAGTAACTCAAAGTTTTAAATCAGATGATTAAAATGTAGTAACAATTAGTATGTAACAGAGGCCAAGTCTGTAGCATACACTAGACGTGATGGGGAACTCTAAATTTAGTAAGAATTTCTTAGTAATATTTATTGGACCAAAAAATCAAGCTATTTACTTGGCAGTCATGTTCGTGTTAACTTATTCAAAGAGATACTTAAAATAAATATTGTCAAAATGTTCCTCATTTTATACTAACTTTCTACTTATTATATTATTTCTTGGAATATACTTTACCATTTAAATACGTCCTTTCAATACCACTCCTATATTTCACACGATTGGGAAGGTGCGAAAGCCGTAGTCATAAGTACTAAATAGTACTTAATATTATTAGAGACACGTCAAGATCTCGTTCAAAAGATTTCTAACTTTGTCGCTCTGTGATAAAGAAGAATATTCATTAACAACGCTGAATTTGTAAATAAAGGGTATCTTAACCAGGGTTACGGGACTTACGGGGCAAGCGTAATAAAGTACCGCAGCCTTAGTCTGGAGCAGAAGAAACGGGGTGGCCTTTAGACAGTAAGAATGACTTCTCCCTTCTCCTACCCTAGGCGAGATGATAATGATTCATCTGGGAAGTCAGATGACGATTTTCCCCCTCACAGAAAGGTAAATATGTTTTAATTTTCAACAGGAGTCTTGGAAGAAAATATCTTTGTATATACAATTAATTCATTGACTGAGTATTTAGTTTATAGCTTTCTGAGATCGTTATTAAAATAATTTTATAATATCAAAACAAATTTGACTGTCCGACTGGCTGCTGGCGTCCGTTTACCTCATCCACAACATCAACAGGAAACGTTGTTTCACGCCGTGTTTCTGTGAGCCCTACGTATCGCTTCGGCTGAGCCAATTCATTCATGCCAAAGCGTGGCTCATTATAGTTCGTATACACCTTTTCTTGCAAATAATTTTTAACTACTAATTAAATTTGAACGACACGCAGTTTAAGTGGTGATTAGGTTTTTATGAATAAACTTGTGTCGTTACGCATTATAACTTATGATGGGAAACCAGTTCATTGTAAACAGTTAAATGAAGTACACCTATTAATACTAACTAGCAGTCAACGAGTATAAGTCCAAAAAGTGTTTGAAGTTTTCATTACAATCTAACCTATAACTAGTATACTCAATAGTTTAAGGAATAAGGAAAATTTCATTACAATTACGGTAAGTATTGGAAACTGATATTCTGCAAACGTGTAAGTGAGGATGTAGTTTTGTAAACCAGGCTAAGAAAAGCTTGGATATATAGGACCGAAAATAAAGAACAAAAACAGGTAAATATGGACAACATAATGATGAAGATGATCTAAAAGTCAAAAATCATTTATTTCAATTAGACCCCTTCTTGCATTTTTGAACGTCAAACTAATTTAAAGCTATAAAGTGTCAGTCTGTCAGTAAGTCCTCCACTGAAGCTAATTCAAAAGTGTAAGCTAATACTCGTTCCAAAGTGAAGGCTTAAAAAGAAGAACGAGCAAGAAACTTCATAGTTATTTTGATTCAATTAGTTTCACGATAAATTTCTCACTTATATCATTAAGTTGCTTCCATACATGGTTCTTGGTATTGATTTACCTCACTAGCCCTCCTCTTTTCACGGCTGCCACAAAAGCCCAATAAGACATATTAACCCCATATTGCTTGCAATTGTATAAAGATCAGCAAATCTGCCTCATGTAGAGCAGGCCCCTCGTCCAGTAGGTCTACGGTGGTTAATTGTGATAATTTAATCAGTATTAATAATGAAAGATACCATTTTTTTGAGAAGGGAAAATCATCAAATGACTTTTCGCGCCTAGGGTAGGAGGGAGGGAGTGTCAGACTCTTACTGATTAAACCGTTTCTTCTCCTACTCTGGGACGAGGCTGCGGTGTCTCATTGCATTTAATCCCGGCTGAACATCAGCCCTATAGGACCCCGTCTGTGGTAGTCTATTGCCTCTTTGATACGCGCGCGGAACGCTTCGCGCCGTACGCTCGGGTCTAGTTCTGGTCGGGTGGCGAACTAACCTTACTCGCCGTCCGCAGACCCGCCCTAACGGTGAAGTACCCCTCTGAAAAACCCCTTAACCAACTAATTTCGCCTATTTTCTTGTTCCAATGTTGAATAACTATCAAACCTTAGTCCATAAAGAATCCTACGTTGGTTTAGGAGGTTGTATAAAACATTTTTTTACATTTTGTGGGCGAATAATATTTTGTAAAATGAAATCAGTAAAGAATATTTTGCATGTAAGTAAATATATTTTCATCTATTACATAAGACCTTTAAATAAACCCAATATGACGTCATTGCGTGTATACCAGACAGACATATTACACGTAAAGTCGACTTGTTATGTAAAACAATTTGATTTATGAAAACAAACTTTTATTTCTTTGACATGATCTTTGACGTGATACGCAATATATGAGTAGATACATTCGCTTTGCCGCACATTATTATTTTATTACGAAATTGTATGGTAGGTAATATTCTTCTTTTATTATTTAGGTATTTCATCTACTTTTCTTTGCCTAAAACACGCAATTTTTGACAGTATCTACTTTTTTTTTATTATATAGTACCTACGTTGTTCGATTTATTGTGTAAGAATGAAGAATGAACTACATGCATATGACAGCATGGCCGAGTGAGTTAACTAGCTTATTTGTTTCATTGATTAATCGAGTAGAAGGGAAATTATTAAATCAATATAGTAATATATAACCTTCGCCCTGTGTGGGGCGAAGGTTAAACTCTTACTGACTAAAACATCCCATCCCTTTTCCTGCTCCGGACCGAGAACCCTTATGGACATTTACCCTCCTGCATTCTATCTGTGTGGGCAGAACGCGACTCGCTGTATGTTCAGGTCTGGTTCTGGCATCCAATTAAGTAACTGCTAATACGGGTCTAAAGACCCCTTCGTTCCTTCTCCTGCTCTAGACCGAGCTTACTGCGCAACCCTGGAAGATTAAACGAGTTAAAAAAATAATAATAACTAAACACTAGCTATTTCTTATTGCACAGATATATAGATATATCTGTACCTATTGGAAGAATTCTCGGAGAATCTAGCTGTGTTAATTTGTGATCGCTTCAAGACTACCATATTGTTATAAGGGCACACCAGCCAATGTCCGAAAACTCTCAATTAAAAAAAAATTTTGGAAGTTGCATGTTTGTTAGTTATTAAAAAAACAGCATACTTTTTTCTTTAATATGAACACTAAGAAAGTAACAAATGCAAATTTATTTCATTACAGTTTATTAAAGAAGATACTGAACCAGTTTTATGTAATCAGCAAAATAAAACTCTACCACTTAAATTGTCTAGCGTCAAAATAGACAGTTGATGTTACTATGCGGTAACATAACTAAATAGTCACTTGTTTAAAGGATAGTAAAAAGATCATAAAATTCACCGAAATGTATTCTTACGGTAAGTTAATATAATATTATAATTATTTTTTATTTTCGCTGGTATTGTTAAGATCATCTAATAATTTACACTGAGTTCATAGTTCTACTTGGCAATTGATATAAGGAAGGTTGATAAGGATAGAAAAGTAGTGTATTAAGAAACTAGCGACCCGTACCGTCTTCGCACGAGTGCTATACAAAATTTTTATACTTAAACTAGTGGTTCTCCCTGAAAACCTCAATTATCAAATTTTTGCGAAATCGTTAGAGCCGTTTCCGAGACTACATGTTTTTTCAAGCAATCAGCGCCATCTACCGGGCTGATATGTGAATCTAAACCATCCAGCGGGGCCACTCAAACGCATACAGAAAAATTAATTCAAATCGGTTAAGCCGTTTAGGAGGAGTTCAATGACATACACACGTACTGCAGAATTATATATATAAAGATAATCCATCCTCTTCTCTATATCTAAAAACATAATCAAAATCCGTATTGCAGCTAGAAAGAATTAGACATACAGGGATAGAGAAAGCGACCTTGTTTTATACTATGTAGTGATATACATAGATTAGTTTGAACGCGTTGTAACACTTGCAAGTTATTTACAGTCGAATTTTGAGCTCGTTATCAGACATTAATTATATAGTACCTATCTAAACAAACAAATACTTTTTAGACTGCACGTTGGCGCTGGGCTACTGTCTGCCGCAACGTGTCGCGGTTTTGATTCCCGCACGGACTACTCTTTGTCTGATCTACAAATTGTTGTTTTGGGTCTGGGCGTGGTGTCTGTGTGACATTGTATGTTTGTAAACACACCCACAACACAGGAGATAATCCTAGTGTGTGGCAACACTTTATATGTACCTATATGTATATATATTGTAGGTACAATGGCGAATAATACAGCGCAAGCACTAGCAAACATCCAATTGGCACAGGGAGCTTTCCACACTTTGTCTCTACTCATGATGACAGAATACTTGTTCCCGAAACAGGCTGAATTAAAAGGTTGGTCATCCATTTTGTATATTATTAAGCTTAGTCTAATATCAGACAGACTGATTTAATTTTAGCTATAGAAAAATAACCGTATTATAATTTGACTGGCAACTGCCGCGTGCTTTTGCTCGCTGCTCCGTTCCTATTGGTCGTATGGTGATGTTATATAGCACCTGTCACTCAGGAATATTATATCTATCTAACAGTGAAAGAATTTTGGAAATCCGACCAGTGGTTCTAATGGTAATATTAGTTTAGATTTGGCTCTTTATTCTGCGTACGGTGTAATATGAAGTTTTTATATTAATAACCGTTACTAAGACTAAGATGGTTGGTTTTTTAACTCTAGATGGTGATGAATTCGATTTCATAATAGCTGGTGGTGGAACAGCTGGATGTGTACTGGCAAACAGACTGGTGATGGCGAATCACCGAGTGCTGATGTTGGAAGCTGGAGACGTTCAAACTTATGACTCACTTGTAAGTACTTATTAAACTGACAGTATAAGATTCATTGTATAGATAAGCAAATATATTTAAATATAGAAAGGGTATTCACAAAATATATTGCCTTTAAACTATAGTTGCTATAAAAATTGTCTGTTAAATTTGTCACTTTATATTTATGTATTTTTTCAGTTACCAGGAACTATAGTGTATCTACCAAAAACCAATAAAGCTTGGAATTATTTAGCTCAACCAGATGGGTATACTGATAGATGTCACAAAGAACGCTCCATGTTTGTACCCCTTGGAAAGATGCTTGGAGGAACCAGTTCTGTTAACTTTATGATCGCTTTAAGAGGAATCAAACACGACTACGATATGTGGGCCACAGCAGCCAAGGATTCTTCTTGGCAATACAAACATTTATTCAAATATTTGAAGAGAAGTGTAAGGCACGTCGGCTCTATAAGTATGTATCCCCAGAACAATGATATGGAACTAGCTGAAGGCCCATATATGGGTAAAGAAAGAAATATAGGGATATCACAAGACAACAGTACTGTTCTGGTCGATTACATACAGTCTTTTAAAGAAATGGGTAATAAAATAGTTAAATTTCCTGGTGGCGAACATGCTAAGGGGTACTCTCGAGGTTTGCTTACCATAGCAAAGGGTTACAGACAAAGCACAGCGTTTACTTACTTATCGCCAGTAAAAGATAATTCCAATCTCTTTGTGTCAAGACGAACCATTGTCAACAAAATAGTTTTCGATGAACAAAAGAATGCTATTGGTGTAAGAGTATCGATTGATGGTGGAAAGGAAATATTTTTAAAAGCCAAAAAAGAAGTAATTGTTTCAGCTGGAGCCATAAAGTCTCCCCAGTTACTTATGCTTTCAGGAATAGGTCCAAAAAAGCATTTGAAAGAAAAAAACATAACTGTTGTCTCTGATTTACCAGTTGGTGAAAATTTCCAAGATCAACAAGCAGTAACGGTGATGCATGCGGCAAGGAAGATCAAATATCCTGGAGCATTCAATTACCACCTTTACCCAGCATCACTTGTAGTAGGATATAGATCATTAAAATCTTGTTCTGAAACCCCCGATTACGCCACTTTTAGCTTTATACAAGAAAGACTAGAGTTCTTACTTCAATATTGTGGGCTTCCTTTTGATTTTCAGAATGAAATCTGTAACAGATCTTATCGGAAAGTTTCCGGAAGGCAACTCTCTTATACACAAATTATTAACATGTACCCGAAATCACGAGGTAAAGTGACTTTAAATACTACAAACGCTGCTGATGCTCCGACTGTTGAAACTGGATATTATACTGAAGAAGAAGACATGCATAATATGGTTAAATATTTAAAAGATTTCCTTCCCCTGGTGAACACGACTTACTTTAAGAAAGTGAACGGTAGTATGATAGACCCAGTTGGAGACAAGTGCAGTGCTCATAAATATGGTTCAGATGACTACTGGAAGTGTTATGTGCACTGCATGGCTACAAGTATGTGGAACTTTGGAGGTACCTGCGCAATGGGATCTGTAGTAAATTCCAAGTTGCAGGTCTATGGAGTCCATCGGCTGAGGGTTGTGGATGCGAGTGTAATGCCAACTGTTGTTGTAGGCGGGAATTATATAGCGACTGTTATGATTGCTGAGAAAGCATCTGACATGATCATTGCTAAACATCGTAAAGACTAAATATTGTTAGCTCATTGTGGGCTAAGATGCCTATGTTACATTTTTTAAAGTATAAGTAATTAATAAATGGATTATTCAATTTTTGTATTTTGTTCAATGCTTTAAAGTAAATGTTTTTTTCACCAAACGTTGATAATAAATTGAAAATTAAAATTATTATTTAATAAATCATGTTATTGGTTAAAGGAAGAATTTAATTTTGAAACCTATGTGTTCACGATTGTTCATAAATAAGTGTAACCAAAACACAAAATAGCTTTGAAAAACAGTCACAGCTGTTTCTTTAAGGAATATCATTAAACTGCTCCTCCAGACTTACTTTAGATATAATGGAGTGTCAGACTGTTCTGACTAAAAACTACCCCTTTGGAAACTTCCGCACTGTGCCGGGGCCGCAGTATATAGGTATATGGCTGCTCGTAAAACCACCCCGGCAGACAGATGGAGCTGGAAAAACTGGTTGACAGAAGAAAAATGAAACTGCAAAACCTATTCAAATGTTTGTATATCACTCAAATACTTTTTAAAAATAAATTTTCTTAAACGTTGAGAGAAGGGAATGCTTTAATGAAATGATAAAGTAATTTTCTTTTTTATGCGGACGACAATAACACAAGCCACAAGTATTCAAAGTAAGCAATACTTTCTTATCAAGAAGCTGAGCACGTCTCGGGTTCTATTCTCAGGTAAAGTAACTATTGAAGGGGAGCAGGTGCAGGTGCATTCACTGAGCGCAATAAATACTCGGATGAAAGCTTTTAACTAGAGAGGCAAAATAACTACTGAAGCTTTTGTGTTGTGTGGGAATTCAAAAAAGATTTAGTCCATTTTTTACTGTAAAATAAAATAAAATTACTTATCTTTCAGTTATATTAAACATATCACTTTAGGATAACGTTCCTAGGATTCTCGTTATTTCTCATGTAGCGTGGGTGCGTTTACAAGCACACAATTTCACATATACATTACACCCAGACTAGGAATAATAATGCTTCCTTTCAAAACATGTCTTCCGTGTGGGGCGTGTGAGGCCGTGGTATCAATTGGTCAAGCCAGCCTCTGTGCGGGCGTGGTTTCCTACACTCTTTCTTATTAAGCAGATAGAAGAAGCTGCGTTAGGAAGCTCCAAATTCGTGCTAAATACCTGTGTCTTCCTAAATTTAGGGCGCGCTATGCGAAAATGAGATGTTTTCAAAAAGCTTATCACAAGTTCCCGTAGGTAAATTAAGGTCTTCTCACACGAAACATACATATAACACAGGTTCGAACTACAGTACTGCATTAAAAAATATATTAAGAAAGAGAAAGAAACATGTTTTCACTAAACAGAGATGTGTGACCACTATTCTAGTTGAAATTGATTGAAAAAGAGTAACCATAGATTTTCTTGCTCACATACACTTTTGAACGAAAAAATTGTTTCACTAGGCGACAGACCGACACACAAAGTTGGACTTTTTGATATTTAATTTATTGTTGATTGACGATCAAAAGAAATATAACAGAAATATAGCCGTGATTATAGAATCCAAGTGAATTGAGTGACACTCAATTAAAAGTAAATTAGCAGAATTGATTTAAACCCACTTTAATGGAACCCTAATTTAGAGTTTTAATTTCAATTCGTGTTAATGCAACGTGATTGCAATTTGTATAATTATTCAGATTTATTTGGTAATGGAAGATAAATAGAGGGCTAATTGGAAAAATATGTGATTCATATATACAATATATTTATGTATGTTCGTCTATTTTGTTTGTGAGAGAGTTCAGAGGTGAAAATATGTTAATAATTTATAATTAAGTAGATTTGTTTTTTTTTATGTAATAGGTCGGCAAACGAGCAGACGGATTACCTGATGGTAAGCAATCAGCGCCGCCCATGGACACCCGCAACGGAGGAGTTACGAGTGCCTTGCCGACCTTTTAGGGATTAGGGATTTGGAGATTTAGGGATTGAGGAGGGTTTGGGGGAGTGGAAGGATTGGTCCTCCGGTAACCTCACTCACATGGTGAAACACAACGCTGTAGTTGTTTCACGTCGGTTTTCTGTGAGGCCGTGGTATCACTCCGGTGGAGCCGACCCATTCGAGCCGAAGCATGGCTCTCCCACACTTGTGTTTTTTTTTAATAATAAGTATTTATTGTAGAACTCATTGGAATTGAGTAATCTCAATTTTATGGAATTCGCTTACAAGTAATATTTGTTTCTAATGATATGACATTTTCTACAATTGAAATTAACAATCTTAAAACAATATTATTGTTGAATATACTGTATAATCAAGTCAGACAACCTATGTTTTACTTGATTATGAATTAATATAAAACGCTTCTTTAACAAATTCAATTAGTCCAATATGGTAGATCATATCGGCATAAATGCGGCAGCTTTACCAGAGTGATACCCCGGCCTCACAGAAAGCCGGCGTGAAACAGCGAGAGCGTTGTGCTTCACCGTTTAAATAAGTTTACCGGAGGCCCAGTCCTTTCCCTTTCCCCGTCTATCCCCAATGTGTGCTATTTGCTTACCATCAGGTAATCAGTTTGCTTGTTTGACAGAAAATCATGACCATCACATAAAATAAAATTTTTGGAGATGAAATCTACTATATAAAAATAAGTCCGGTTTTCCTCCCTGACGCTATAACTCCAGAACGCACGAACCGATTTCCACGGTTTTGCATTCGTTGGAAAGGTCTCGGGCTCCGTGAGGTTTATAGTAAAGAAAATTCAGGAATAATCAGGAATAATTCAACAGAAAAGTGGGTAAATCGTTTTTCACATACAGCGCCATCTCTGATACATAGCATGTACTACAAACCAATATCCAACACTTCAAGTAGATGGCGCCGAGTGTTTGACAGCTACTCATTGTCTCTGCTCAGTTAATTTCATTCAAGCTCAGTGTAAATTATGTGGATCGTGCATTTGAGGTTAAATTCAACACTCTGTCCATTGTCCAAAATGCCTAGACAACGACGTGCGAGCATCGGCCGCCGCACAAGACATGCAAGCCAGCAACAAGTGTATTCAAGGAACTTAAGCGAAGAAAGACAAAATATAATAAGAGAAAATGACCGATTGAGACATCGCGTGAGCACACGAAGATCATTGGCATCATACAATCGCTTGGCATTCCAATATGATCCCACTGCAAACTACAGTGATGATGAAAATTTAGATATTGGACGAATGACGACTATATGCCGATATTGCAATGCGTTAATGCGTTAAAGTTCAAAAGAGAAACGGCTGGATTGTGCTACGCAAGTGGAAAAGTCAAACTGGATCCATTACTTACACCACCACAGCCACTGAAAACATTGTTCGATGGAAGTGATCCCGATTCCAGCCATTTTCTTCAACACATCCTTGAATACAATAACTGCTTTCGCATGACTTCCTTTGGAGCTAATATCATTCGAGAAGGCGGCTTCATGCCGACTTGCAAGGTAAAAGATACAACACACATAACCAATCACTCACACCAACACAATGAATTGCAACACATAACAACTGCATATACACCACACACTACACCATCAAACGATTTACAACGTATTCTTCAACAAATTTTAATGATTATTTGCAATTACAGATACAAAGACAAATATATCATTTGCATGGTTCAATGGTGCCAACACCAGATGAACCGCATCAATTTCTGCAAATATATTTCATTTCGTCAATGGTGGATCAGTTGAATGTGCGGTGCAATATACAGGGAGCACAACAGTTAAAGAGACGAATTATTGAAGTTTCAAGCTTTTTTTCACGCTAATAATGCTGTGGTTAATGTGTTCAAAACAGCATTGTAACGAATGCCATCGGATACGCACAAATTTGTCATAAGAGCGGATTGTACCCCAACAGGTGAACATGTGCGAAGATTCAATGCACCCACCGTTAATGATGTTGCTGCAATTATTGTTGGCGATCCAACTAAATCACGAGACATTGTCGTTCAGCGAAGAAGCAATATCATGCATCGTGTAAACGAGACACATCGTTTGTACGATGCGTTACAATATCCAATCATTTATTGGCAAGGGCAAGACGGATACGACATCACGTTGAAGATGGTCGATACAATTACAGGTACAATATTTACACACTAATTATTTCCATTATTACTATTATTGGTTTCCATTAACAATTCATTTAATTTTGCATTTTCAGGAGTATCAACGAATAAAAATCTAAGCGCAATGAATTACTATGCGTATCGTATGATGATTCGTACACATGAGGAGAATGTCATTTTGAAGTGCCGTCGGCTATTCCAGCAATTCGCTGTCGACATGTATGTCAAAGTCGAGACCGAACGTTTAGCGTTCATCCGATTCAATCAGGCAAAGCTACGATCTGAGGACTATATACACTTGCGTGATGCTATTCATTCAGATGGTGATGTTCAGAATATTGGACGACTGACGATTCTCCCATCAACTTATATCGGAAGCCCACGCCACATGCACGAATATGCTCAAGACGCTATGACGTACGTGCGAAATTATGGAACTCCGGATTTATTTATTACGGTCACATGCAATCCGAAGTGGACGGAAATTGAACGCGAGTTGGAACCGGGTCAAAAAGTGCAAGATCGCCATGACATAATCGCCAGAGTATTTCAGCAAAAACTCAAGGTTATGATGGATGTGCTTACTAAGTATCGAGTTTTTGGTGACACACGTTGTTATATGTACTCGGTGGAATGGCAGAAGCGTGGACTACCACATGCTCATATCCTAATTTGGTTGCTGAACAAATTACATTCAAATGAAGTGGATGACATCATATCAGCTGAAATTCCTGATCCAGTCACTGATCCCCGTCTACACGGCATTGTGACGACGCAGATGGTGCATGGACCGTGCGGTGCATTAAATCCATTATCGCCTTGCATGGCTGATGGAAAGTGCACAAAACGATATCCGCGACCGTTAGTTGCTGAAACAGTCACAGGGAACGATGGATATCCAGTTTATCGTCGGCGTTCAAAAGAAGATAACGGTCGAACTATCAAAGTTAAAGTTCAAAATCAAGAGATTGAGATCGGAAATGAATTCATTGTACCATATTGCCCGCTGCTATCACGAATTTTCGAAACACATGCAAACGTTGAGAGTTGTCATTCGGCCAAATCAATCAAATATTTGTGCAAGTACGTCACAAAAGGCAGCGACATGGCTGTGTTTGGTATTGCGTCGGAAAATGCGAATGATGAAATCAGCAACTTTCAAATGGGCAGATACGTCAGTACTAATGAAGCACTGTGGCGATTATTGTCATTTCAAATTCATGAAAGATATCCCACAGTTGTACATTTAGCAGTGCATTTGGAAAATGGCCAAAGAGTTTACTTCACTGAGGCTAATGCGGCACAACGAGCTGAGAGACCACCATCGACAACATTAACTAGCTTCTTTGCAATGTGTGAAGCAGATCCATTCGCAGCGACGCTGATGTACGTTGAAATGCCCAAGTATTACACTTGGAATCAATCAACAAAGAAATTCCAACGTCGCAAACAAGGAACCCCAGTTCCAGACTGGCCACAGGTGTTTTCAAGTGATGCACTAGGTCGTATGTACACTGTTCATCCTAGAAACGATGAGTGTTTTTATTTGCGACTGCTGTTAGTAAATGTACGTGGACCAAAATCATTTGCGCATTTGAAAACTGTGAATGGCCACCAATGCCAAACATATCGAGAAGCATGTCAACTATTGGGTTTGCTGGAGAACGATTCTCATTGGGATTTAACACTTGCAGATTCAGTTGTTTCATCAAATGCGTACCAAATACGAACGCTGTTCGCAATTATCATCACCACATGTTTTCCTTCACAACCAATTCAGTTATGGAACAAATACAAAGACGCCATATGTGAAGACATCTTGCATCGCTTGCGCATTCAAACGAATAATCCTGGCATCCAAATAACCGATGAAATCTACAATGAAGGATTGATTCTGATTGAGGATCAATGCTTGAATATTGCAAACAAGCTACTGATTGAAGTAGGAATGATTGCGCCAAATCGATCGATGCACGATGCATTCAATCAAGAATTAAATCGAGAGCTACAATACAATGTTGATACATTGCAGGAATTCGTTAGAAATAATGTTCCGTTGCTGAATGAACAGCAAAAACAAGTATACGAAACATTAATGCAAGCGGTGGACAATAATACTGGTGGTCTATTCTTCCTGGATGCGCCTGGAGGAACAGGGAAAACATTTGTCATTTCATTGATTTTGGCCACTATTCGATCAAGATGTGACATAGCTTTGGCTTTAGCATCATCTGGAATTGCGGCGACTCTTCTAGATGGCGGTCGTACTGCACATTCTGCGCTTAAGTTGCCACTCAATTTAAACACAATTGATACTCCAACATGCAATATTTCCCGATCCAGTGCAATGGGAAAATTGTTAATGCAATGCAAGCTCATTGTTTGGGATGAGTGCACAATGGCACATAAGAAATCACTTGAAGCACTTAACTTCACACTGAAGGATCTTCGGCGAAATAACAACATCTTTGGCGGCTTGATGATATTGTTGGCAGGCGATTTCAGGCAGACGTTGCCAGTAGTTCCCCGTGGAACGCCTGCAGATGAATTGAATGCTTGCCTGAAGGCATCACCTTTATGGAATAACGTAAAAACATTATCGCTAACCACTAATATGAGAGTTCAACTTCAAAACGATCAAAGTGCTGCACAATTTTCCAAACAATTGTTAGATGTTGGAAATGGAAAAGTCCAAGTTGATGCGACATCTGGATTAATTACTCATACCAACGATTTTTGCCGATTTGTAGACACTCAATTAGTTCTTATTGAAAATGTTTTCCCAAACATTAGTGAGAATTATAAGAATTATGCTTGGTTAAGTCAACGAGCAATTCTTGCCGCAAAGAATAATGATGTCCACGCACTGAATTTTACCATTCAATCAAAAATTGCTGGCGATTTGGTGACATACAAATCCGTTGATTCAATAACAAATCCCGATGATGTAGTAAATTATCCAACGGAGTTTTTGAACTCTCTGGAGATACCAGGATTTCCACCACACAACTTGCAACTCAAAGTTGGTACAGTTATTATGATACTGCGTAATTTGAATCCACAGCGACTTTGCAACGGTACTCGACTTTCGGTAAAGAGACTTATGCCGAATTTGATCGAGGCAACCATTATTAACGGAAAGTACGCAGGTGAAAATGTATGTATTCCTCGAATACCAATGATTCCAACTGATCTTCCGTTTGACTTCAAACGATTGCAATTCCCAGTTCGCCTTGCGTTCGCAATGACAATTAATAAGTTGCAAGGCCAATCGCTTAGTGTTTGCGGGATAAATTTAGAAAATCATTGTTTTTCACATGGGCAGTTATACGTTGCGTGTTCACGAGTTGGGAAACCATCCGCTTTGTTTGTGTTAACGTCAGACCAAAAAACAAAAAATGTGGTTTACCAAATAGCACTACAATGAAACGGATAATTTGCGGACACGTATAACGCTTCGATTCAGTATTTACTTTGGATTTGTAGCGATATCAAAGAGTAACTTTCATTTACTTAGGGAAGTTCAACTAAATAACACTTCATTTTAGTAGGTAATCGAAATGTATTTATTACTGTTGTGAAATGAAATAAATATTTTCCTTTTCAAATATATAATAAAAATTTTTTTTTTCTTTATCTTTTAATCACCAAACGAAATGTTACATAAAACGAATCTGGTGGCGAAACGGAGTTCGCCGGGTCTGCTAGTGTTTGTATATATTATAACACTGTATTTGTAAGTAATATGCACATTTACATATACAATTAATTATATGTTATTTATTATATTTATTTATTTATTATTGCTTAAAAGGTACATTTTACATTATAAAAGGTATAAAATGTCCAACAAAACTGTATACACAATTTGTCTGTTGGATCAGATTTTAAAACTATTGACTTACTATAGGTTCTATTAAGTTATGTATCATATGCTGACGTCTTAAATAAAACTACGATCGTTTGCTTGCTTTTTCTTGCATCAATCATTGGCTCATCTCAGCATTACACAAGGCTTGACTGGTAATAATTCCTAAGGCATGAAGTCCTATGAATTGTCAATAAATAGAAACATATGAATATCTAATGAACAAAGATTTCTAAGTACCAATTCATTATTGAAACAAGATCTTATAGGTACCTGTATTCGTCTTAACATAATTAATCCAAGACATAATATATGGCACAAAGGATACGCCAGGTTTCCCGTACCTCTGATTAGAAGCTGCATCCTCCATCATCCCCGGCGTCGTCAGCTGGAGCACTCGTAGACTTGTGACTGTCGTGATATCTTGCGACGACCTGAACCGTGGTAAAGCTACGGCCACACTTCACCCGATGCACTTTTTGTAATCCTAAAAATTTAATATTATAAATGCGAAAGTAACTCTGTCTATCTGTTTGTCTGTCTGTCTGTCTGTTCTTCACGCCTAGACTACTGAACCGTTTTCTCTGAAATTTGGTACCGACGTAGTTTGAAACTCGAGAAAGGACATAGGATAGTTTTAATACCAAAAATCTACAGGAAGTCACTTTTCCACGCGAACGGAGTCGCGGGCAAATACTAGTGTATTCACTACATTTACTACGATAGCATAATTAAATATTGAGTTAGACGAAGATAGTAATAGAAAAAAAAGAGATTTATTTCACCAAGTTTCTGCCAGAGGCTTCTGCCACGTTTCATGAATGAAAAGAAGTCGTGTGTATTGTGTATCTAGTGTATTCTAGACTATAATCTATATCTGGGCCAATTTTCAATTAAATCCATTCCTTATTTTTAACGTGAAAGAGTTTCAAACAAACATCCATCCATAATAAAATTTGGCGCTTATAGTATAACTAGATTTTGTTAATAGGCATTTAAGATACACACTTTAGTGTAAGTTCTTAAAGCATTTTATCACTTGACACTACATATATATACATAATCCTTGTCCAGTGTTACAAAGGTCCTATTTCAATTAATAGACCTTTGGCCTTTAATCGTATAAAAATAGCCTTCGTTTATTACAGTGTCTGTTTTTACACGTGGAGAGATCGAGTGTGTGGCTACAGGGTTACAAGTTCGAATGCTCGGCGGCAATCGAGTCGGTAATCGATTTACCCGAAGGAATCCGTTTCGCACAGTTAATGGTATGCGGGAACAGGTGAGCTGAATAGTTAATCGATACTTTTAATATTCGAATAGTTTAGGAGAACGATTGCTATTTTTATCGTACTGTTTTGTTTTCTGTAAATATGTGTATAGTGAGTGTGTGCATCGGATGGATAGCATTATCTAACAGAAAAGTTTCAATAAAGAAAGTAATTTGTGTGGACTTTTTTACTACATATGTAGATGTCGTGATTGCCATTAGGTTGAAGTTCCAGTTTCTCATGCTTGAAGGTTTTTTATTTTTTTGTGTGGGGAAAATCATCAAATGACTTCTTCCGCCCAGGGCCGGGCGGGAGCGAGTGTCAGACTCTTACTGACAAAAAACCCCCTGTTCCTTCTTCTGCTCTGGGCCGAGGTGCCTCATTAAGCTTACCCCGGAATGCTTGAGGGTTTGGGTTTCAAACCTGGCAAGTACTATATGACTTATTCTGAGTTATATGTGTGTTTTTTAGATTAATTAGATACCGCTGATTTCCGGTACAGAAAAACGTCGTGAGAAAACTTTTTTTTTGATTGGTCAAAATCATCAAATTACTTCTCTTGCCCATGGTGCAGCGAGAGGGAATGTCAGACTCTTACTGAATAAAAACCATAGCATTCCTTATGCTGCTTCAGTCCGAGGCTGTAGTACCTATTTTGATCCGCAACCTAGAACCTGGAATAATACATCATTTCAAATTATAAGTTTTATATCACTAATCCGTCTAGATACAAGCGTGGTGATTGATCAAAACTTTCCCATGTGAGAAGAGGCCTTTGCTCAGCAATGGACACTTATAGGTCGACGATATGTGACGTGTAAGTAAATATGAGGTGAGTGCTGCTACTCGGTATTTGCTCAATGTGTAGCCCTTTATATTGTTCAAGGTCATATGTATATGTTATATTAACATTTGATAGTAGGCAATCGGCATCCGCCATGGACACCTGCAAGACTAGGGGAGTTGCAAGTACGTTGCCAACACTTGTATGTACATCTGATATATTGCTGCTATTGGTGATAAAACAATTCTATTCTCATACCATCACACCGGATCAAACGACTACGTAATGTCTCAACGAAAATCTAATGACTTATTTATTTATTTAATAGTTAATGTACACAGTCAGTTAGATAACAAGAATAATACAATAATAAAGCTCAAAGGCACAGTTTATTTCTTCAAAAATCTTTTCCAACAGACGCGCTATGGGAGAGTTAAAATAAACAGAGACTTCTTACATCATCATCATCATCAGCCTATAAGTGTCCACTACTGAGCAAAGGCCTCTTCTCAAACGGAGAAGGCTTGAGAATTAATCACCACGCTTGCTCAATGCGGGTTGGCGATTTCAAACTTATAATTAGAAATTATAAGTCCAGGTTTCCTCACGATGTTTACCTTCACCATATGTCATTGATGTCTAAATAATCATAGAAAGTACATATAACTCAAAAAAAGACACATTGGTACTAGCCAGGTTTCGAACCTACACCCTCATGCATGAGAAGCGGGCTCCTTAACCTCCAGACCTCCACGACCTCTTACACTTAAGAGTAACTCTAAGACTCCTTACACTTACGCGCAATTGGAACCAACCACTCCTAAATTGACAATAGAAAATATCTGAAAAGCTAAGAAAATTACAAAACGTTTCATGTTTACTTGTTTAAAAGTTTAAACCCGTCTGTGGGGATGTCAGGCTGGTCTGAAACTGCGTCTGACGTTTCGAGCAGGATCTTACTTAAGCCGTTGTAGCGAGCCCTTTGTTTTAGCTTAGGACAATATTTTACTCTCCCTCGCAGTAAGGTTCTGTACTTCAATATTTATTATTAAATTCGTATTGTGAATACAATGTGTTATTAAATAGACTTAGTATTCTTGTTTGTTTTTCTTCAAAGGGTATGTGAATATTTGAGTTTCGTATTTATTTATTATTCATTTCTGTAAAAGATTCTCAGTCTTATGGTAAAGAGATTAAGTTGGAGATCTATTTCTGTAAAATCATCAAAAGACTTCTCCCGCCCAGGGCCGGGCGGGAGGGAGTGTCAGACTCTTACTGACTAAAAACCCCCCTGTTCCTTCTCCTGCTCTGGGCCGAGGTCGCGGTGCCTCATTGCGCTTACCCCGCAACCCCGGCTGAATATTAGCCCTTTAGGGCCCCGTCTTTGGTGGTCTAATGGCTCTTTGAGGCGCGCGCGGAACGCTACGCGCCGTACGCTTGGGCCTGGTTCTGGTCGGGCGGCAAGCTGCCCTTACTCGCCGACCGCAGACCCGTGCTTACGGTGGCCGGAGATCGTCCCTCGATCCCCGACGCCCGTAGTGTCGCCAGTTGCGGGGGCTGGGGCGTGAGGAGGAGGATTGCTCCCTCACGCGGGCCGCCTCTCTCTTTGCGAGCATGACTGCTTCACAAAATGAGGAGACGGCGTCCCAGTTCCTCTCACTCCGCACCATGGCCTCGACTAAGACTGGGCGCGAGAGGTCGCCGCCGCCGAAACTATTCGCCGTGACAATCTACGGCCACAGCACGGATTTTCTTTTCGTTTATTTGCGGAAGCAACCAGCGGTACAGGGGCTGCGGTGAAATTTAATTGTGTGTAGTTTGAAACTATTTAAGCTATCTCGACAATCAAAGAAGTGTCGTGAGTAGGTCGTAAAATAAAAAGTATGTATGTAGTGTATCATGATTTTTGTAAGATATTAAAGTAATTTAATATCTTACAAAAATAAAAACAGACTAATATTATTATTATAACATGTAAATAACCGTTTGAAATTTGTGATTAAGGTTCGGAGTATATTTTCTACAAAACATTTAAAATCTAAATCTGAGAAAAATATCGAGCGACGATTATTTGTTACATAAATTGTGTGGGCTTAATTAACAGTGTAATTACTTCCTAGCGTGGAAATCGTAAGCTTTTTGCCGTCTCAATGGTATAAAACTAGTGTCGTAATTAACATTTCAGTTAATTTGTTAGTTCCAGTCAGCATTAAACAAACTACGACCAAAACTATTTATGTTTTCCTATTCCAATATTTCCACTTTGTGACGTCATATAACTCTGGCCAGTAACAAAGTTCGTTTCATTTATTTATTTTTCCCACAAATCTAGTTTTGACGCTCAAATCAACGAATATTGCTGGAATTCATATTTGGAACGTTTCCGTTTTTATTTTGAATTTTGTGTGTGTGACGTTATGGTTTATGAAGCTCGTGATTGGCTGCGTGTTGATCGGATTACCATAGATAACAAGTGCGTATTGTTATTTTTAATGTGCTTTTTATCAGGATATTTGTCATAATTATGTTGACATGTTATAATGAATCCGTTTGTAGAATACAGTCGGTTATTATGAACTTTATCATATTATTTTTTCTAATGGAAATCTGAACTTACAAAGAGAGATGTATTAACTAAAATACCTTTTAACTTATAATTATCAAAGAAATTGTTAACAAAGCTGAATAATGTATATCTTACTTCTTACTAATATTATAAATGCGAAAGTTACGATGTCTGGATGTTTGTTGCTCAATCACGCCAAAACAGCTGTACGGATCTGGATGAAATTTGGCACTGGCATAGGATACACTCCGGAATAGGACATAGGCTAGTTTTTATTAACATACCACGCGGTCGAACCCGCAGGCGGAAGCTAGTAGAAAAATATTTGGAAAACAGAAAATAGCTTTTTCATTTTACTCGACTACCAAGAAAACCTATGCCCTAACCTTACTTACCAGGTTATGCCAACAGCTTTGTTTGCAGTACCGTAGTATGAATGCTAATGAGAATGGAATGATATTCCAGAATATAATCTATGTTTATGCCATATTTCATTCAGATCCGTTAAGCAGTTCTTGCGTTAAGGCGTAACAAACATTCATTTCGTACTAACAAACCGGGACTATGGGGCAAGCGCTTATTGCCATAGCCTCGACCTGGACCAGGAGAAAGAACAGCGTGGTTTTTAGTCAGGAAGAGCCTGACACTACCTCTCGCGTTATACTAGGTAGAATAAAAACCTTTTGATCTTATAATATGAGCTAAATATTACTTTTTTTTTGTCAGGGGAAAATCATCAAATGACTTCTCCCGCCCAGGGCTAGGCGAGAGAGAGTGTCACACTTACTGACTAAAAACCCCCGTTCCTTCTCCTGCTCTCGGCCGAGGCCGCGGTGACTCATTGCGCTTAACCCGCAACCCCGGCTGTCTATTCACACACACAGCAATCACTATACGCCAACAAAATTCATCAGGCAATCTCGGCGTCCCGATAGCACATATTATGTAATCCCAGCATATCTGTACCCAAGTAAGTAACATTACCGTATGAGTTACAAGCTTAACCGGAGTTAAACTGCTCGTTAAGGCGGCTCCCTATGTGACAAACTGCGCAATTACACCGACTCTCTTCCTAAGAATTTAATATCTTTGGTTGAAGATGACATATTTCATGTTGGTGAATTTTTTTCGCTATTCCTTTTCAGTGGTTGGGTTTCTGGGTTCTAGGAATTCGTAAGTGTTTTTTTCTTGATGTAGAAAATTTTCGTTCTAAGTGTCTTAAATTCTATATAAGTTACATCCTATTTTCCTACTAATATTAATTTGAAAGTTTGTGTGAATGTACGGATGTATGTATGTTTGTTATGCTTTAACGCAAAAACTGATGGACTGGTTTGGTTGAAATTTGTTATGTAGATAGGCGACACCTTGGACTCACATATAGGTTACTTATTATCTACAACGCGCGTGGAAGCTAGTACCAAATAATTTGTTGTCTATGAGTATTTCAGTTACAACATTGAATATAAAAACCAATCTAAATTTACTATTACAGATTTTAATAAAACCTCTATCGCAACACTGCTAGTCCGACTGTAATTTCCGAATGCAAATACTCGGTAGAAAACTAAATATTATGGTTAGCGCACTTAATTAAAACTACCCAGTTTAAATTCTGTAGCAAAAAATATGAAATATAAAAACTGGACCAGCTTTTATTTTTATTTAGGTATATCGAGTTGTTATAACTTTTGTGAAGAACTTTAGGAGAGTTTTTTTGAAGAAAAGTAACAGAGTGTAGCAGTTTCTTAAGACAATAAATTACTCATAATGTAAAACCCATTTCACTGGTTATGTAAAAGGTGAATTAATTGCACATGCGGGACTCAATTATGTATTCGGTTTTATATTACTTTGGATTAATGCAGATTAATCCAAAGTAACAATTTTTAAGACAATTAAATCCTCTACAAAGTCGAAAGCCAACCTCCAAAACGTCGAAAATGCTCTTGTAAATCATTTTGGTATTGCAAGTGTCCATAGGTGTCGCTAGTTGCACACCAATGTGACCCGTCGTCATCGGCTCATTTGCCGCACTCTCACATAAAAAACAGAAACCGACATTATCAAAATCATTGTTCTCTTTTTAACAATTTCACTTTGTTTTTCAAAACATTTTCCAAGTTGGTTTCATGAAACGCTTTGCGGAATCCCGTTCCAGTCTCGGAGACGTCTAATCCGTCCATTTTTGTCTCCATTTATCGTGGACACTGTAATCTTGGTGCAGCTCGATCTTAACTGAATTTATTGAGTCTATTTATATAAATGTACCTTTGCTTGTATATATGTTGTACCCGCTCGTAATTCTGGGTAGCCATGATGACTTTGCGGAAAAAGTAATGAGGAGAATTTTTATACAACTATTTTTATTGTCGCTAGTATTTCATTATTTTTTATATAATTTATTTTTTTGGA